TGAGGGCCAGGGTGACCGGCTCTCGGCGCAGGGCTTCCTGGAGCGTCACGTGTCCCTCTGATGCGTGACGGGCACACTGAACAGTCTTTCCCAGGGTCAGAGAAGAGCATGGTTAGGGGAATTGCACATCCTTCCAGGTACATAGTGGAGTCTTCTGGGCTGCTTGTTAGGTGTCTGAAGCCCAGGTTTGTGAACATTTGTCTGCTGGAGGGGTCAGCGTTCTCAGCAGGTGGGTAAGACGATTTGTCAACACGTGCGGGTGGAGAAGAGCGGGCACGTCCGGGACACTGGATGCCCAGCTGACAGGCCCCTTCTGGTCGCTCCAAGGAGACACAACCCCAGGAGGTGGCGAGTTCACGTACCCTCTGCCATCCCCCCTCATTTTTGGGTGGTGGCGGTGAGGGGGGTTAATTGATTAGAAATGGGAACCCTAGGCCTATGCCCTCCTGTGTTTAGGTGTCTAAGTTTGAACTACTTACATGTTGTGAAAAATGCCAGGTTGTCACTTAACATACAAATTAGTCCCTGAAATGATAATTCACCGAGGGCACCTGGCTGAAGCCAAGATAAATTCCATGACGCATGAGACGTTGAAACAATTTATACCTCATCCATTTCCTGCAAGAGTAAAAGATAAGCCGCACCTCCCTACACGCGTACAAGCGTAACAGAACAGGATCTCCGCAAGCAGACCCTCACATAGAAGGCTTGGCTTCGGTGAGAATCTGAGGGGGTAAGATTAAATCTGAAAGAAAGGATTAAATAAACATGTTACAGATGGTTAAAGCCATAAAAGGAGGTTTAGAGACACAGGAACAAGACATTGAGGGATAAATCAGGCAGATGTGAACCAACAGTTAAAACTGGGAGTTAACATATAGTCATTGAAAGTAACCCAGTGGATGGGTTAAGAAAAGTTAGACCGCAGCAGGGAAGTGACTGCAGCAGAAGGAGCATCCGCGAATCCGTCTGGACGCGCGGCACGGGAACGTGGAGCGATGAGGCTGGAGAAAGAGGCCGAGAGACGGGAAGACAGACGCTCAGTAGATGTTCCAGAAGGAAGACGGGAGGGAGACCTGGGGGAGAGGCGGGATGGAGAAAGAATTTATGGAACCTCTGTGACACGGATCATTTCATGGCTGAAGCTGAACAAGTTTTGGGCAGGACAGATAAAAATAAATCCATACCTAGGCATGCTGTTTAAACAAAAAGCCTGTAAGATGCCGTACACCATAAAGATGAAGAGCAACAGAGGGACTCCCCTGGGGGTCCAGTGGTTAGGACCCCGGCGCTTCCACAGCTGAGGGCCCAGCTTCGATCCCTGGTCGGGGAACTGAGGTCTTACAAGTCGCGCAGTGCAGCCAAAAAAAAAAGAAAAAGACAACAGAGAGAAAAAAGACGGAGCATGTTCCAGGGAACGACAGTTGGATGGTCAGCCTCCTCCTAGTATGACGGAAACCGGGGACACTTCTACTCCTCAGGGAGAAAACCCCTCGACCCTGCACCTCGCACCCTCTGGACCGGGACCAAGCGAGCTGACCATCAGCGTCACGTGGCGGAGGAGATAGTAAAGGAGGTTCTTCAGGGGCTTCAGAAGTTACGTGTGAGGCGCGAGAAGGATGGTGGACAAGAGGTGGCGCGCGTGCGGGTGTGGCTGTCACAGGTGCTGAGTGCTGGTGAATGCGGGGCAGCGGGGCCGGGATGGCGGTCACAGAGGGCGTCAGAAGAGAGACGAGGCCAGTGTGAGCTGCGTGTTTGGTGTGCATGGAGGGGAGACTTCACTAACCCGTGCTTTGTCAGGCATACACAGGAAATGACTGAATGAGTAGAAATGGAAAGTGTAACTTCCACCTTGTGAGAGAGTGGAAAAGTGCATGAAGAAAAGTCTCCATCAATAGAAAGTGAGGGAGGAAGGAGGAAAAAAGGAGAAAAGATAGTAATCAGAAAACACGAGGTAGGGAGTTCCCTGGCAGTCCCATGGTTAGGACTCAGCTGTCACTGCCCAGGGCCCTGGTTCGATCCCTGGTCGAGGAACTAAGATCCCACAAGGCGCTGCCAAAAAGCCCCTTAATCTATAAAAATTAAATTAAAAAATCTGTACGTAGGATCTTGGTAGAAGATGGCGGTGCTCAATTCCAAAGCAGCAACAAAAAGATACACCAAGTACATCTTCAGTGAAACTAAGGACCTCGTCACCCACGAGCAGACGGAAGACGCTGTCTGAGAGCAGGGGACTCGGAGGCTGAGGTGCTGCAGAGTTGACGCCTCTAGGCGCCCCCCCCCCGCCCCCGAGGTGCCTGCTCCGAGCAGAACTGAGCGGTCCCGACTCGCCTCCTTACTGCTGACAGTCGCACAAGAGGATGAACTAGTAGATGTATATCCAGCGGTCTCAGAAGGGGGCCTCAGAGAAAGAGGGGTGGGTGGGGTCCTGGGGACCTGTGGTGACAGGCCTCGGAAGGACCGTCTTGCCAAAAGTAAGGCAGCTTTCTGTGAGGCAGAGAGGGGGGCCCAAGGCTCTAGAGCCTGGGGAGCTGTGGGCCATCAGGTGGCCACAGAGCAGGGAGCCCAGAGACAGGGCACCCAGAATGCAGCCAACAGCTGCTCCAGGAGCCCCAGCACGTTTCGAGAGGATCTGACAACAAAGAGCAGCGGAACCTCCCTGCGGCTGGGGAGACACGGCCAGAGCTGGGGACATCGTGCCCCAGCAGTCAGCGTGCACTTCTGAAGCACAAGGGGTTAGAGACGGCCACTTAGCAAGCTGAGCTGGACCTCGAACTCGGAGACTGAGAGTGAAGCGAGCCACAGCCAGAGCATCTCTGGAGCTTAAACCGCCTGGAGCGGCACCTGAGCAGACGCAGGATGGACACGGCATGGCGGAAAGAGAGGAAGGTTAGAAAGAACGCGTGGCCGGGGGACAGGCCGCGGAGGGTCTCTCTGTGTGACGGGAGTCTAGGTATTGAAAGAATACCCTGTGTTTCAGGGGCAGTCCATCCAAAGTGGTCAACGTGATAAATACCTTATTAAAGTTACCGGACATAGCAAGGAACCCTTTGGCCAGCTCGGCCAAAAAATTGAGTTCCTTGTAAGGCGAAGAAAGTGAGGCCGTCTCGAGGCTTCTCATGGCAGAATCCAGCGCCTGAGCACAGAGGAGCACCGATAAAGTTTTCAAGGAAAGAGTGAACTGGAGACTTTCTCTCCAGCCGACTGGTTCTTTAGACGTAGATGTCAGAGTGACAGGTGTGGACACGGGAGCTGAGGGCACCGGTCCTTTGGGGGAAGCTGATGAAGGATGGGTTCCAGGTGACCCCCGCAAAGCGACTGGTGGTGGTACAGGTATCGGGAATTTGTGCCGAACTGTGACTCCCGACAGCAACAGAGGGGAGGCCAGAGAGTGAGGTAAACTCACCTCTGATGCTGATGCCTGAGAGTCAGGCTGATAAGCCAAGTAGGAGTAGTTTTCAGCATTTTTAAGTATTAAGGTAAGAATGCCACGGAAAACTGGGTTGTAAGGATGGAGGTGGGTCAGGGGAGACCACTGCAAGAGGAGGTTGCGGGCGTCGTATGCAGGCAGAGATGCCCTCGATAAAGGGCAGCCAGCAGGGAAAATAAAGTTCCCAACATAACAGGAGGATCAATAATTTAAAAACCCCATTACTTCATAGCAAAAGGCTTAAAACCCAAATAAACAAGCAAATTAGATTGATAGAATTGTGCCCAACATGAGTCATATTTGTAAAAGGGAGTTGGATTAACTCATCTATTAAAAGATTTCCAGATTGGTTCATAAAGCGAAGCCTATTTCTCTGCTGTATCTAAGAAACAGAGGGATCCTGAAAGTTGAAAATAAAATTGTGCACAAAAGTGTGTCAGGTGAAGTCAAATTAAAAAAGAATTGTTCTCAGACAAGGCAAAATTTGGGCCCCAGCGCATTCAGTGAGACAGAGGAAGGCCTTTTAACGTCAAAAGCGCCGCCAGGGACCAGGATACATCCTGCAGGGTGTGCCCCAAATAACAGAGCAGCCACACCCCCAGAGCCACAATTCAGGGAGGCACAGGAGACAGCCAAGTGAGGGAAAGTCTACTGTGGATTCACGTCTTGGAGCGAGAGGTCCTAGGCAGAGAATCAGCATGGACTTAGCGCCAACTACAAAGAGAAAGCCGTGCAGAGAGCCCGTGGCCGCAGCGGTGCGACAGCGGAAACGGGAAGCAGCGTCAGGTTCATCAGGAGAGGACGGCTGGGCACCAGCATCTCGGCACTGAGGAGCCGATGCAGCTGCTCAGAGCAGGTTCGGTGGTTCCTTTCAGTGAGGCAGGAGCACGCTGCAGAGCACGCGCTTCTGAGATGTGTCCACCTTCAGAGGTGCAGCTAGCGTCCGGGTGTGAGCGTGTGGCTGAGGCCGCCGCCTGGGGCCGCCCGTCCAGGGCAGGGGAGCCTGGCAGGCGTCTCGATGCCGCGCTCCTGGGGTGTCTGTGCACACGTCCTGTCCCCCACTCACAGACCCCGTGTGGCGTTACCGCGTGACCGTGATGCTTTTTGTGGCCTAGTTTTAAGTGCTTTCCCGCCTCCGGTATGTCTTTCTCCTGTCCCTTGCGGTCGCGCGGTCGATGAGAGACCCTTAGGGTGAGGAAGGCGAGGTCACCGCTCCCTGATGCCGGGCGATTGCATCGTCTGGGTTTTGCCACAATAGGAGTACATCTCCGCGTACACAGAGGTGCTTGCCTTTCGGGGGGGTCGAGTCCCGGGAGCATGAAGGCGGGACCCTCATCGCTTTTGCCCGGGTGCGTCTCAAGACTGCTTCTGCCGCAGGGGTTGGCCCCCCTCCCATCAGCCAGCGTGGCCTCGTGGCCTCAGGACGTTCTCCTTGTTTCCTCCACCGCTGGGCTGTCTCGACTTGCTGGCCGGTTTGTGTCGTAAGCGGTCAGTCCTGTCCTCTGTCAGGCTGTTGGTGTCCGGCTCCCTCGCTTGCCGTCCGACGTCGGGGAGCTCGGCTCACCGCCCCCCGCTCACCAGCGCTCGGTCCCTCCGTGAGCAAGAGAAACAGGACTGGTTTGGGGGCGTCCCATCTGAGTGGACCTGGGAAGCCACGGCTCTCAGTACAACACCAGTTGTCCAGCGCGACGGTGACGATTCCCTTTGAATGAGAACGTGATGGCTGAGAGCTGACCACGTATGTAGATGCTGCTTGAAACTTGAGTTGTGCCTTACAGGACCGTATAATCGATGCCGGCCCCAAAGGAAACTATTCCCGGTTCATGAATCACAGCTGCCAGCCCAACTGTGAGACCCTCAAGTGGACAGTGAACGGCGACACGCGCGTGGGCCTGTTTGCCGTGTGTGACATTCCTGCAGGTACGGTGCCTCCGGGGCTCCCCATGGGGCTCCCAGCCGAGCGGGCAGGTGGAGGGGCCCTTGTCCGATGCTGTGTGTGGCCGGACCGCCCGGCTCGGAGAGGGCGGGCGGCTGGCGATTTGGAAGTTGTGTTTTGTTTGGAACGTGCACCTTGCAGCGTGGAATCGCAAGCCGTGCGGGGACAGTACAGGTGCGCTGACAGGCGCAGGGCTCGTAGACCTGATGCAGGCTTCTTGGCAGGGTCGGGAGAAGGGCAGTGTCCCAGTGTGGCTTGTCTCCCTCACCCAGGGACAGAGCTGACCTTCAACTACAACCTCGACTGTCTGGGCAACGAGAAAACAGTCTGTCGGTGCGGGGCCTCCAACTGCAGCGGGTTCCTCGGGGACAGGCCCAAGGTGAGCGGTGGCGGGAGCGGAGTCTGCCGGGCGGGGCGAGGACGGCAGGGGAGGCCAGGCGCGAGACTCGGTGGCTGCTTGCTGCGCTCGCGGGCCGTGGCTGCCCCTGCAGAGGCCACAGGGTGCTGGGGCTTCACGGCCTGGAGCCGGGAATCCAAAGTGAGAGCCTCCGTACGCGCCTGGCGGCACGTGGCGTTCTGCCTGCGTGTCTGTTTCCGTGTCTCCTTCCCTCTTTCACAAGGACGCCGGTTGGTTGTGCAGGGTTAGGGCCCGCTGCCTTACATCTGCAGCGACCCTACTTCCAAGCAAGGTCACATTTGAGGTTCCGGGAAGGACATGGCTTTGGGGCGGGGGGTGGGTGGGGGGACACGGCTCCACCCAGCACACTTAGCCCCTTCCCTGTGCTGGGTAAAACCCGGGCCTGAAGCCTCTGGACGGCCACAGTCATCCAGGCCCAGAGGCGGGCTGTCCATAGCGGGCCTGCCGCTTCACCTGGCTTTTCTCATCTGTTCTCACAAGACGTGCCGCGTGGGGAAAGAGCCTGCCCTGGGCCGCATGCCCGCTGAGCGGCGCTGCGGCTGGCGGCCTGTGTTGTTTCCTACAGGCAGTAAACGGGAACAGGTCGGGGCTGCAGACCCCCACTCTTCTCCTGTGAGACCATCTTCAGGGGTCCCTGGCACTCCCGACCTTGACCTTGGCCCTGGTGACCCCTCGGGACAGCTGGCCTCAGTGCGGGCAGTTCCCTTGAGTGAACTGCATTTATTTCTTCATTCTAGACCTCAGCATCCCTTTCCTCGGAGGAAAAGGGCAAAAAGACCAAGAAAAAAACCAGGAGGCGTCGAACGAAAGGCGAAGGGAAGAAGCCGTCTGAGGACGAGTGCTTCCGCTGCGGTGACGGCGGGCAGCTGGTGCTGTGCGACCGCAAGTCCTGCACCAAGGCCTACCACCTGCCCTGCCTGGGCCTGGGCAAGCGGCCCTTCGGTGGGTCCCCAGCCCGGGCAGCCGAGGCCAGACCACCCGGCGCAGCCCTTGGGGGCCGGCAGGGGCTGGGGGAAGGTGCCGGGAGGAGCTGCTTGGGAGCGAGGGGCCCCGCACCCCTGGGTCTCAGCTGGGAAGACGGGGAGGGGCTGGGGCTGGGGCTGGACTCTGCCCTTCAGAGAGATGACGGGCTCCGGCGTGCACAGAGCGGCCGTGTCACCTCGGGAGGGAAGCCGAGAGGCCCTCACCCGGAGACAGAAGCGGCAAAGCTAGAAAAGGAGACGTCAGATGTGTTTGACTGTGAAACAGAAACACTGTGTGTGGCACGAGATGATGCAGCAGGGCCAGCAGGCGGCGGCAGAGAGGCTCACGGCGGGCGTGCCGGTCTCCCCAGACCACATTAAGAGCCTCTGCAGGCGGACCCCAGAGGGATCGGGGCCCCCGAAACACTCGGCCCGGCTGCACACCCGTCGCCGGACAGCAGCCGGGGCGGCAGGGCCCCCGGTGCCGCTGGGCCATCTGGGCTCGGAGGTGGGGCCTGCTCGCAGCCCTCCGCCCCCAGGCCTCTGAGCACGAGCTTTAGCTTCTCTTTACGTTTTGACACTTGCCTGGAAAGCGGTGTCTTGGTTTAGTTTGTGTTCATCTGACTAGACTGAGGTTGTTTTGTGTGTGTGTTTTTTTTTTTTAGACTGAGTTTTAAAGTTAGTTTTCAACCATGGAAATGTTACAGTGTTACAAGTTGCCATTCCTCTCTTCTGTCTGGTGATACTTTGTTTCGTTGCAGGGAAGTGGGAATGTCCTTGGCATCACTGTGACGTGTGTGGGAAACCTTCCACTTCATTTTGCCACTTTTGCCCCAATTCGTTTTGCAAGGAACACCAGGATGGGGCAGCCTTCAGCTCCACCCAGGACGGGCGGCCATACTGCGGCGAGCACGACTTGCGGGCAGAGCCGGCCGAGCAGCCCTGCCCGGAACCCAAGTCCAAGGGGAGGAGGAAGAAGAGGAGGTGCTGGCGGAGGGTCACGGAGGGCAAATAGCGCCAGGCCGGGGCGGGGTGAGATCGGGGGCCCCGCGTGGCCGGCCCGCCCTGTGCGCAGAGGGCCGGAGGACGCTGCCCGCAGCCCCCGGGACGCACGCACAGGCCTCCTCGGGAGGGGGCGCCTCCCGTCACTGAGCCATCCCAGCAGCGCCCGCTGCGCCGCACTGACCGTCCGAGCCGCGTGGTTCCAGCCGCGAGGTGCGGACGCCCCAGGACAGACAAGCCTGACTACACGGCATTACAGCTACACTTGAATCTCAGAACGTCACGGTGCCCTCCCGCTCTACTTTCCTAGGTTAAAGTTACGACGGAAAAGTAATTGGCATGTGAAATATTTTTATCTCCCCTGAGATGTATAGAGTAGTATTTTTTCGGAGGATCACTCTTACCTCTTTTAATCTTGACAACGTCACCCAGCCTGCTTCCCCGTTGCCATCACTCAGGAGAGGAGACCAGGGTGGGGCCTGGGCAAGGACTCAAGACCCCGAGTGCCCTGGGAACCATGATTCTGCTCTTATGAAACAGCTGTATGATTTCTTTTTTGTACTAATGTGAAGTTTTTCCTCAGAATGCTTCTTTTCCATCCTAGTGAGGAGCCGGCCCCAGGACGGTGACTAGTGTAGTGTTGTTGTGGGATCTCCCCTGTCGTGTTTCTCTCCGTGGACTTGAACCAAGCGCTGCTGCCACGTCGGCCTTTGAAGCACAGGCTCACGTGGGGCAGCCTCCCCGGAGGGTCTCATCACTTGGGGGGAGAGTTTGTACATTTTTTCGGGTGGCTTTTCTTTACCAGTTTCTGGCTTTTATTCTCAATATATTTTTGCTAAACTTGTTTCACAAATTACCACCGACTGAAATGCGTGTTTACTGATGCGTGTGTGACCCGCTGAGCTGTGTGACGCGGCCACTTAGGGAAACGGTTTGTCCGGCGCTCTGCCCGGCGGCGTCTCGGGTGACTGTCGCGCAGCAGGGCACTGCTAGGTGCCCCTCCCACACGCACCCCGGGACGTGGAGCTCGCGGGGGGCGTGTGTGTCCAGGCACTCCTCCCGGGCTGAGGAAAGAGCGAGTTCAGGAGCATCGTCACCCCAAGTGACTGCACGCGTGCTGTGGGCCTGTTCCCGGGAAGCCTGAGCCGCGCTGGGCAGACGCCCTCGGCCAGGGCCCCTCGGAGGAGCGCTTGTCCTGGGACTCGGGCCGGCCTGCTGGGCGTGGGCACCCAGCCTTGGAACAGCCCGGCCGGGAGATTTCCATGGACCGTTAGCCCCACGCAGGGAGAAGCTTCTGCGAAGCACAGCGTTCCCATGGACCCCGGGACGCTGGGAGCGCCCTGCCAGGAGCCCGTGTGCCTGCCTGTCTCCACTCGCGGTGGGAGGGAAGGGGGCGCTCAGCAGCAGGTGCTTTTTTCTAGCCTTTTCTTAGAATAACCTGAGGAGAACGTCTCCTCTGCAGAAAAGTTTACACAGCTGTTCTTGAAAACTGCCACGGAGGTCTCCTGTTTGTCTCTCTTACCGTTTTCGCCTCGGAGAACTGCAGGATATACCAACACTTGGACCCAACCAAGTTCACTACTGCTCCGGGGTCCTGCGACGCGAGCTGTGGGGGGCGGGGGGGGGGCGGTCTCGGCCGGGCCGCGACCCCTGGGGAAGCACCTGCTCCAGGTGCGAGGCGCCCGGGCCTCCCCAGGCACGGACTAGGAGAGTCGGCTGACCGAGGCCGTCCTGCTGGCCCTCTTCTGGTGACCCTGGGGCAAGTGACGTAGGACCAAAGGAAAAACAAGCCGTGTCCTCAGCCGGTGCTTCCACAGGCGGCTCGGTTCTCTCTGGAAACGCGCCTGCTCGGTGAGACGCAGGGGCCGTGGGGTATTTCAGTTCAGAACTCTTGTTTCTCTCAAATGGTCTTTTAAGAAAATACTGGATTGACGTAGATTCATGCTCCTTAGGCCCTGAACCTGGCGCCTGCGCGCTCTGGGGCTGGGCACGAGGGGCGCCGAGGCCTGGTGCCAGCACAGCGGCCGCGGGCGCAGCCCCCGCCCTTCAGAGCCAGGGGCCTCGGTGTGGGCTGACGTCACTCGCCCTTTCCTGCCGGTGAGGGACTTCTGCCTAAGTCAGAACATCAGAATTGGTTTTGCAGTGCACTTTGGGGAGCAGATTAACTTATTTTTGTATTTGACAGTAGTAAAAATTTTGTGTGATTTTTGAGTCACTTTGATATTACTTCCAAATTCTTTTATAACCTTTCTGAAGGAAATACTGGAAAACTTATTTTAGATATGGTTGCCCTCTTTCCAAAAACTGTTAAACTAATGAGCAAATAACACTAACTCTGAGAATCTCCAGAAAACCAGTTTATGGATCTGAGCACAAGGCATTGGAGGAGCAGTGGGGCTTGGAGGGGCCTTCCCGACGGGGCCGAGGCCTTTGCTCCGAGTCTGAGGGGAGCTTGCTTCGGGGGAGTCGGTCTTTCCTGAACGTCAGCTTCAGCCCTTCGTCGTTAATGTGAAGCAGAAACACAATGAAAACCGCCCAAACACCTCAGGATTCCTCAGCATCAGGAGCTGACCAGGACCCCTCGTGTGTCGTGTCGACGCCAGCGCGGGCCTCTGGACACGGGGACGCTTCTCTCCGTGGGGGTCGTGGGCGCATGTCCAAAGCGGGCGATAAGCTGCGAGCACCACGGGGAGGCCGCCTGGCGCCCCCGCCCGGGTACCGTCCTCCGAGAATGCTCGGGACCCCCTGCCTCACCCTCAGGTCTGCGCCCCGGCGCCTTCCCACTGTTTCCCTTGACACATAAACTGCAGTGTGTGCGGCGCCATCTTCTAGAACTGCCGTATGTCCAGGAATAAGAAAAGATAGGCCTGTTTTTACGAAAGGTAACACACACAGACGACTGTCAGTTGCCGAACTCTCGATCCTGCGAGACATGGAGCGTTTGATGAGTGAGTAAAGTGCTGTGTCCGCGGGCGTCGTGTCCACCGCACCCTGTTGAGATGTGAAATTAAACAGAAACCTCAACGTGCCTACTGGTGTCTCAGCGTCGCACGGAACGCGGCCAGGCTCCGCCTTTGGGGGGGTGTACCAGGTGCTACCGCCAATTTTGACAGACTTAAAAAACTTGAAATTCACTTCTGGGGGAAGATACTGAAATGTAGATTTGAGAATTGCTGGTTGCGGGGAAATAATAGGATTTAAGGTCGGAAGTTGTGTTTGGAAGATTGTGTATGAGTATTTTTGTATTAAAAATTTTAAAGGCTTTTTTCTTTATGTGGAATTGCATTTTGAAGTTTGGGTCTCTCTTCCATTCCCCCAGTCCCTCTTCTTTCTTTCTTTTTTTTTTTGGTCGCGCTCTGCCGCATGCGGGATCTTAGTTCCCCGACCAGGGACGGCACCTACGCCCCCTGCAGTGGAAGCACCAGGGGAGTCCCGCTGCCAGTCACTTTGAGTTGTCTGTCACTCTGGAGCGTCTGGCGCAGTCCCCTGACATCTGGGGAGGCCAACGCGGCCTTGGAAGCACAAGTATCGTAGACAGTGCGTGTCGTTCTGATTTGGGGAAAAGGCTTTTTTTCCTGTTATAATTTGGTTCCCAAACCCCCGTTAAAGGTGACAGAGTCGGGAGAGGAAGCTGCAGACTCTTCTCAGCCCCGGAGGTGGTTGAGCCCCAGGCCCCTTTGACGTGCTCCCCACACCCGCATCATCCAGGAGTGACCCTTGGGCTGACCCCAACGTCACCCACCCCAGAGAGGGGCTGGGGCCCCAGAGCAGAGAGGTCGAGCTGGCTGGAAACACAGCTCTGGTGCTTTTTCTTTAGAAAAGCTAAAACTTTAATTAGGTAGTTTTTACAATGAAAACAGGTACCCAAGGACTGGTCTTAAATGCTCACAACGGTACAAAAGACAAATACAAAACCTGTGGGTGGTGAGCGTGTCCTGGCATCCCCCATCCCTGGGCACTGGCGGCCGTCCCCGCCCCGTTCTCAGACACACCAGGCGCCACCTTTGGTCCCTCAGCCGCGTGGGCGGGGAGAGGGATGCACGAGCAAGAAAGGCCCTCTCTCGCGGTCAGTGGGACTGAAGAAAAAATGAGAAAAGACGGAAGTCTAACAGGCAGAGCTGGTGCCAAGATTAGGAAGTTACACCTTTCGGGGCTAAGTTTAACATTCAGAACTGTAACACTGAATGCAAAAAAGTGTCTTAAATCACACAAAAAGGACCCATATTAAAATTTAGAAAATAAGTCCAAAACACCCCAGAGAAACTGAACCCAAAGCTCAAGTGGGCTGGGCCTCGCTGGCACGGCGGCGGCCCTAGGACGTGTTGGCCATGGGCTTGTACTTCTTGAAGCGCGTCCACTGGCCCGTGGCGTAGTTCATCTCGAAGACCGTGTCCACCAGCATGGTGGTGCTGCCCTGGCCGTCCGACTTGGGCAGGTCCTCCGTGTGCTCGCTCAGCTTGATCTGGATCACGTCGCCCTGCTCCTGGCACGGGTTCTCTGAGGGGGGCAGGGGCCGCTGGGTGGGGGCCTGGGGGCGCGGGGGCATCCCCCAACCCCCGCAGGACCCGGGCCCCCCCACCCCCCAGGGCCGGCCGCGGACCCACCTCGGGAGCCAGCCATGAAGCCCAGGATGAGGGCCTTCTCGGGCCGTGTGACCTTGTTGGCCGTCTTGAACATCTCCTGCGCGGCAAACATCTGCTCTCTCTGCGGTGGAGGAGCAGGGCTGGGTGCTGGGCCCTGCTGGCGCCCCTGCTGCGGGCGGGGCCGCACACACACACCCCACCCCACCCCCACCCCCGCCCCACACACCTACCGTGAGCGACAGGTTCTTCTTGGGCTGCTGCTGGGCGGGGGGCTGGGCCTGGGCCTGGGGGGCCACCATGGCCACCGGAGGCGTCTGGGTGGCAGGGGCGATGGCCGGGGGCGTGGTGGGCGTCAGGGGCGAGGTGGGCGCCGCAGGTGTGGGCGCTGCAGGGCTGAGGCCGCTGTTGTACAGGGGCGCCCTCTGCTTGAACTGTGCCGGCAGCGCGGGGCTGGGGGCGCTGGGCTCCTCGGGGGGCCGGCTGGCCTGCAGGCTGGCTTCCCGGTTAGGCGGGGCTGCAAGCAGAGCGAGGCCTGGGGGGCGGCCGGCAGGGCCAGGGACCCCACCTCCAAGAGAAGTGCCTGGGCCCTCCTGCCCACAGCTGGGGTGCAAGCCCTGGGCGGCGCCTCTGGGCACGGGGCACACGCCCCCGAGAGCCCCAGCCGGGAGCCAGAGGGCTCAGGCCTTCTGAGACCAGCAGGTAAGACGTCCAGGCGCTCGTGGGCTCCTGGGTGCTGGCGAGGGGACGGAGGGCTGCTTCCTGGAGCCCAACAAGCCTGCCTGACCCCCAGGCCCTCTCTGGCCACCCTCTCCCCGAGGCCAAGCTCCCCCCCCGGGCAGGCGACGCTGAGCCCGGGGAGCAAACGCCTCGGAGCAGAACCCACGGATCCCCCTCTACCTTTCCTTCCGCGCCTTCTTTCTCAAACTGTAGGGCTACGTGAGGACCCCGGACCCTGAGGCACTGTAACCTCAGCAGCCCCCCTCCCGCTCACAAACTGGGCCTCACACCTGGCACCGCACAAGGGGCGCTGCCTGTCTGGCCCCGTGAAGGGCAAAGCAGCTGAAACCCCTGGGTTTACTTCTCGAAGCTCGTGCTGGGCAGGAGGGTCTTCCGGCCCCGGCGGCACCAGCAGAGGTCCTGACACCCAAGGAAGCACCACGTGGGCGAGTCCTGGGAAAATGCTGCTCCCTGCCTGGTGGGTGCTGCCCGCTCTGGGTGCCCGCTCACCTGGCGGGGCCTCGGAGCTGGGGATGTAGGATGAGGCAGGGACCACACTGGGTGTAGCCGGCAGGTAGCTCGTGGACGGCAGTGCAGGCTCGTTGTTCAGAGACCCGAGTTTCTAGAAGACAGAGACCATGGTTCCTCTCAAAAGCAGCCCGGGGGCTCAGCGTGAGCCTCTCCCAGTCCTGGATGGGGCCGGCTCCTCTGTGGGCCTCAGCGTCTCGGCCCAGCGTGAACCCGAACCTCCAGCCCCACAGGAGGGCCCCCACCCCCGGGAGCAGGACCGGGGGCACTGCTGTCCCCAGGGATGGAGACTGCTCCAGGCCAGGGGCCCCGTGCTCAGCAGTGCTGGACCCCAAGCGTCCGGCCCTGCCGCCGCCCCCATCCTGGAGCTGCCTTGTTGGGAGGGCGCGGGGTGGGGCGAGGCTGTCCCTGTTTGGTTAGGGACCCTCCCAAACCAGCCATCTTTGAGGTAAGAAGAAATTTTTTTTTTTAAACCACAAAAGCATATGAGAAAAGGAAGACACTCCTTTCAATAAAGTAAGAAAACAGCTCTGCAATGAGAAGTTTCCCACCACCCAGAAATGACCGACGTGACACACGGCGCCTGGCTGCCCAGCCCCTCCAGGCAGGCCGCACCGGCAGCGAGGGGCCTCCCGCAAGGCCGCCCTACCACCCCTGCGGGACAGGGGATGCCGAGGAGCCCTGAGCGCGTGGCGCTGTCCAAACCTGGGCCCGCGGGCACGCCAGCTCCCCGCCGGCGCCACCTCTTCTGCGTGTGTCCACGTACATACGTGTGCATCCACGCGTGTGCTCCCACGGGACGTGCCTCCGCGGCTAACGCTGGGAATGGGGGCACGTGCTCCGGCTGCCCGCGGCCCTGCAGCCCTTACCTGTGTGGACACCAGGCCGGCCGCGTAGTCGGGGGTGGCGTTCTCCACGACCGTCTCTTCCTTGGCTGGCTTCTCCACCGCCTCCGCGTCTGCGGGCAGAGCACAGGCCTCAGCGCCCCGGGCGGCGGCCCTCCCGGCCCGGGGCGGCGGTGACTCTGAGGACAGGTCTGCCCCGCAGGCTCGCCCCTCTCCAGCCGGAGGCGGTCTCGGTCTTGGCAGACGAGAGACCAGGGCCTCCGCGGGCGGACAGGCCCCAATACGCACCCAGGGTCTTCCTCCTCCTCTTGGCCTCCCGGCCGGCCCCGACCATATCCAGCTCGGAGATGTCGAGGAGCTGCCGACACAGACAGAAGCCCACCCTCAGCCCCACGGAAGGAGCGCGGCTGGTCCCGTGCGGGCGGGGCTGCCAGGGGACACGCCCACCTTCACGCCCCTCTCCTTCCGCAGGGGCGTCCTCGATGGCGGGATGGCAGTGCGGTTCCCCGCGGGGCTGAAGACGCTGGGGGCGGTGGGGCTTCGGAAGGGCGCCTGCTTCGGGATGCCTTTGAGCGGGGCTGCGGAGAGGATGGGCCGTCAGGGGGCCTCGCAGAGCGGCTACTCCGCCACCGCTGCGTATTCCGCTTGCCCGTCTCCGCCAGAGCTGCCCCTGCCGGCCTGCCAAGTGCTCCCCCGGAAGTGCTGCGCCTCCGCGAGGGCAGGTGCCAGGGGCACCTCCCTGTGCCCAAGCACCGGGGCATCGGGTCGGCCTGCCCAGAAAAGCACGCCGTGGCAATCAGCGACACCACAGCCAAACTGACGTCTCTGCCCAAGTTGCCAAACCAACAGAGACGCCACACCTGCATCCATCGACCGTAACACACCGAGTCCTTTATCACCACAGACAGGACTCTCAGCTTCCATTTCTTTCTTGCACCTCGGGGTTAACAGATGTGTTACAGGCTAGAGGCCCCACGCTGCAGCCAGAATCACCCTCCCTCTTCCCCTGGGCCCGGTTCCTCATCTCTCTCAAGGGGAAGGCACCTGACACATGAGGAACGGCTCCTTCTGAAGGGGGCCTGGCCCCTTCCCCAGGCATCCAGTGCCTCCCCATTCCTGCCACTGGGACCCGCCCCAGTGCTCAGCGAGCAGACACCAGGGCTGACTCACACCAAGATCATGTACGGCGTCCCAGGCCCGGTGCACAGGTGGCCCCTTGGCACGGCCAATGGGACAGGGCAGGGAAGCAGGAAGCACCCCTGAACCACACCGTGGGCACGCTGGGTCGGGGCGCCCGGCCGGAGTGTGGAAAGGAAGGTGAGGGGAGCTTTGTCAGGGGGACTGGCACGTGGGGGGCAGGCAGGGACATTACAGTGAGGGCCCCATGTCAACCTGATGCACTTCCAGGGCCACCTGGGGCAACAGCCGGCCCTGAGGAGACGGGGCCGGGCCCCCCACCCCCACCACAGTGCCGAGTCGGCCGACACCAAGACGGCAGCTCCCACCTGAGTGCTGTGGGCTGTGGGCCCCGCAGGGAGGACCCCCACGAGCCCCCTCAGGCTCCCGTGGCAGCCTGGCTGCTGCTCTCACCGACCCACCTGCCCTGTCCGGTCGGCCCTGGGCCTGGGCAGTGTGGGGTGGGCAGGGAGCAAGAGGTGCCCTCCGGCCCCGAGGGAGGGACGAGGGCGCAGACCCGACGACACGACGGCGGCCCGGTCAGCCTCGAGCTTGCAGAGCCCTCGCCCCACGGAGAATCTGGGGTGGGCACGGGGCCGCAGGCGGCAGGACCTGGGGCGGAGGCGGCGGCCCATGCCCTCCACGGCCATAAGGACGAGCGAGAACTGAGACTGAGCATCTCCCTCCAATCCCGGTCTTTCCTCATCTCAGGCGGAGCCTTCCGGACCCTCCATAAGCGGAAGAGCCCCCCTCATTTCACACAACAGAGCCGGCAGCACCGCAGGGCCCGTGGCCCAGTCAGGTCGGAGTTCAACGACTGTGCTCCCGAGGAAGGGCGAGCCCTCCCCTCCGACCCCGCAGCGGCCCGGCCTTACTCGTGGTGTCCATCTTCCGCAGCAGCCCCCGGCCCTTGGCATGGAAGGGCACCCCCGCACTCCTCTTCAGCTGCTGGGCGGTCTCGGTGGCTGTAAGACAAGGTGGCCTGCGTCAGCGCCCACCGATGACAGCGCCTCCATCCGCGGGATTTACAAAGAAGGTCGAGTTGTAAGGATTGGAGCACAAACGCTCGCTTGTCTGCTTTCAAACTTACAACTATGCTTTCTGTGTAGGGCAGCGGTCCCCAACCTTTTTGGCACCAGGGACCGGTTTCGGTTTCGTGGAAGACAATTTTTCCTCGTACTGGGGTTGGCGGGGGATGGTTCAGGAGGTAACGCGAGCGGCGGGGAGCGGCGGATGACGCTTCGCTCACTCCTTTGCCCGCCGCTCACCTCCTGCTGCGCAGCCCGGCTCCTAACAGCCCGCGGTACCGGTCCGTGGCCCCGGGGTTGGGGACGCCTGGTGTAGAGAACTACACTTGCAGCAAGTAGGGCCCTGGCGGCTGCACCTCCTGGGGTGGGGTGCGGGAGGGGCCCCGATGAAGCGTCCTCACTGGTGGGTGGTCGCCTGGCACAACCTCACCCTTCCCTTCACAGAAGCATCAACGCGAGGCAGGAAACAAGCTCGGGGAGGGACGGAGCCCCACGCCCACCCGGCACCAGGTTCTGCCGTGGGGGGCTGGGGGCCCGGGCCGCGCACTGCCAGCTCCATGAAGCCACAGCGCAGGGCTGACCCCAGGACGCTGTCCATCCGGAACCGAGAGTCACGATGGCTGCTGTGTTTTTATTGGGGTTCTTTGAAAACAGGGCATTTATACGGGTTATTAATACCAACACCATAACCACTTGCAATAAAAGTTCTGCTACCAGTCAAAGGAATCCATTTCCTGGCCTTTTTCCGAGCAAGTATCTTCCACGTACATTTTAGAAACCACTACTTAAAAAAACATGAATAAAATGACCAAACATCTTTAAAGTCCAATTGAGATCATGTGCGAGAACGCGGCAGGCAGGGCTGCAGGAGCTAGGGCCCAGCCTCGCCAACCTCTTCCGGCTGCCTGTCTCATCACCCGTGTGGCTCAGGTGGTAGAGATTTCATTTTTGGAACAAAGATTACAAATACTTTAACCTGAAAATTCGGAAGTTTCTAAAGTAGACTTTTAGAACACACAGTTTAGCGTAGCAATCAATAAATTTCTAATAAAAAAAAAAACTACGTAGAACTCTGTCTTTAAAATACAGTTAACTACCATAAAACCTAAAAGAAATCTAAAAATAAAAACTACAGACATAGAACAAAAGCATGATTTGCTCAGCAGTCAGTTTTCCCAAATCTGCTGGACCTTCCAGGCCGGGCAAGGCAGCCCCCGCTGAGGAGGGTCCCGACGAGTCCCAGTGCACCCTAGGCCAGGCACACCCGCCCCCACACCCGCGTGCCGACAGCGGGCACTGAGTCCCAGCGCGCCCTAGGCCAGGCGCACCCGCCCCCAGACCCGCATGCCAACAGCGGGCACTGAGTCCCAGTGCCCCCTAGGCCAGGCGCACCCGCCCCACACCCGCGTGCCGACAGCGGGACTCACATTTCTGCAGGAGCTCGGCCCTCAGCGTGGCACTCTTCGGCTTCCTTTTCAACTGAAAATGTTTCACTGGGGGAGTGAGGGGCCCAGCGAGGGTCGTCAGGGCGTTTTTATTCAAGTACTGGCACTCCAGCGGGAGCATGGCCGACGCCTCACACTCGTTCACTGCTCGTTCGAGAACCAACATGTTAGGAGGTGCATTTCCCTTACACAGGCCCAATTTTCACCGCGAATATGAAAACGCACAGTTTCCTGTTTATAGCAGTGGAGCTTCTGCTTCGATCTCAAAACAGAAAACAAGTATCCACTGCCTGCCTGCCAAAGGCCAGCAGTCAAGGCCACCAACCTGGGCCAAAGGTCAAGGACAGGACAGGAGGGCTCAGCAGAATCCCTGTGGAGCTTTTCAAAGGCAGAAGCACCCGGGCCCCACCACAGATATCCATCAGCTACATTTGGAAGGGGCTCTGTGCACCCCTAGAGCAAGCGCCGTAGGAAGGGGCTCTGTGCACCCCTAGAGCAAGCACTGTAGGAAGGGGAAGCCCGTGGCCATCCTGGGTTCCCCCTCAGTCCCCACGGCCCCCACGGATGGTTTCTCCTGGACCCTCTGAATCCTGGCCCTCACAAGAAGCACCCAGGCACGTTCCCCAGGTCTGTGGGTTTACCAGGCAGTTAGAGCTCGGGAGAAGGTCCTGGGTGGGGAGCAGACACCAGTGCCACCGCTGTTCTTCCTGCCCCCGGGAGGCACGCGGGGCAGAAGCCCCTGGGCAGAAGACAGAGCAGGCCCCTCCCACCAGAGAGAGGACACCCAGGAGGGCGTGGACCTGTCTGGACCCTCATCAAGCTAATCACCAGGACAGAAGCATCTTGGGTTTGCGTTCCAATGCTCTGGAAGCATCCATGTAGCTTGTGGGCAGTTACAAGACAAGCGAAAGCCTACAGAGTAAGAGCGATCATCTCGCAGTTAAGAAGAGGCACTGGCAGCCACCCCTGGGGACGGCCAGGCCACCGCCCCTGCGGGACCGCAGGGGCACAGGTTCCATCTTTAAAGGGCTGCAGTTCCAATTCTCCAGACTAGGAGAGGAATTCAGGGAGGAACTGACCTTCCCATCTTTGCGTGTTCTAAGTGGTTTTCAGTCCGTGTTCCAGACAAGTAAACTGCTGATATTTCCAACACACAGTTATGAGCATCTACTCCGTGCCAGGGAATGTTCTAGGCTCTGAGTGGGCAGAGCCCGTGCCCTCATGGAGCTGAGTGCGGAGAGGGGTGCGTGAATGTGAAAGATAAAGCACGTACAGTGAGGAGGGAGCCTCTGGGCTGCTCCTGTCAAAGACTGGCCAGAAGCCAGCCAGCAGCGCCTGGGGCAGGGGTGCACGGATACAGCCAGCACCACACGGCACAGCATGCGACACTCTCGAAGTCAAACTCATGTTACAAAAGAGGGTTTTAAAGGACGACCCATCTCCCTCCACCCAGCGTAAAGCAAACACACCCAACCTACCCTTTTCTCTAAGTTCTCCTAAAATATCTTGAACGTTGGGATTCTGCTCTTCGAGGTCAAGGTTAAGAGATCCGGTGTCAGGAAAGGACTTCAGAATGTCGGCCACCATGAGAACCCAGGGGTCCGAGTCCAGGGTGGCGAGCTGGATGATCTCTGTGAGGGCACCCTTCATCTGCCGGGAGAGGAAAGATGGCAGTCCTTGTCGCCGACCCCACCCTGCCACCCCTGGCTCAGGCCTGCGGGGTGCACCTTTGCTCGTTCAGACACGGGAAGGAGCCCCCTTCAAGCCCGCCGGAGCTTCTGCGCGCACGGGGCGGGGCCCAGCCTCTTCAGCCACCGCCCCCATGCCGGCTCCGCCCTCAGGAGAGCCACGCCCCCCCGCCCCCTCCGCCGCATGCCCACACCTCAACGGCTGCCCGCGCATCTCCCCACCGCCTCCCGGTGCAGCGGCCCGGCAAACAGAAGGGCCGCCCAGGACGGGGGGGGGGGGGGGGCCGTTCCCGCCCCCTACTGGGGAACCTGCCACTGGGGCGTCTGGGGTGTGGGGAGCACCGGGGTGGGCAGGCCAACGCCGCGGCTCGGCACCTGCGGCGGCTGGGAAGGGACTGGGTACGGAAGGCCGCTGGGAGAACAGGGGCAAGTCCCCGCACGCCCCATGGCCATGTGACGGGCTCACGTGACAGAGGAGAGCCCGCAGGAGGCCGGTCCCCCCCCCGAGGACCTGGCTCCCGGGGACAGGCCGTGGCCGGCGTGTCTGCTGCGCTCGAGGTGCCGCTTCCTCCCACAGGTGCAAGTGGCCACAGCGGCCCGCGGTCACCGCTGCTTAAGGCCCAGACGCGGGCCCAAGCCTGAACACGGCCCCCCTCACACCTGCCCTCTCCCACCCAAGCTCCTGGTCCACCTGTCACCCCTCACCTGGCAGCTCCCCCTCGCCTGCGCTGACACATCCATCCCCTCAGGCTCTGGCTTAACCCTCATGCCCAGCTTCCCACCACCCTCAGGAATCAGGATCCCCTCACCTGCCCCGGAAGCCCCGGCCCGCCTCCGGTGGTGGTCCAGACAGAATGCCTGGCTGAGCCCCGCATCCCCCCAGGCGCACGCGCAGCCGAGGTCGAAGCGTCAAGGCTCTGGCATTCCCGCCTGAGGCTGGGCGCCTCCCCTTGGCCAAGCACAGGGCCGGGTGCCAGCTGACCCAACTCTAAAAGGCTGTCTCTTGAAATACATGGAAATAAGTTCTTTTGACGTGTGGCAAAATGGTAAACGCTTATTTATTTTTTAACATTTGTGCTGGGGGCTTTTTTGATGTTTTAGAAGAATGAGCCCGTCTACCACCTTCCCCCCTGTATTTAGCTGAGCTATCAACTCTTTCCTACGTTAAAAACAAAAGGCCAACAGTGAGAGGCCGGTGTACCGCAAAAACAAAAACAAAAGGCACGAAATGAAAAACAATTTTATCTGTCACTTACTATGAGTTAAAGAGTGAAAACGTGTCCCTGGCAAACTAAAGTTATATAAAAAACATAACAAAGAAGCCCCCCCTCATACCTAAGTCCCAAACTAAGTAGCTCCACACAGATGGCAGGCTGCGCCCTCGGCAGTCACCCCAAAGCGTTAGGAACGAGAGACACACACACACTGCGCGTGAGGGGACGCCCAGGTGATGGGGAGAGGGGAGCCTGCAAATGGAACTGAGGTGGCCCAGCAGGAGGAGCTACCTCCCACGCCCGAGCCCAGAACTGCAGAGAGGGCCAAGGGGCAGGGGACCTGGAGCCCTCTGACGCTGCCTGGGGCAGGGCGCAGGCTGTAAGATGGTGCGGCCATTAGAGAAACCATCTGGCACTTCCCCAGAAAGACAAACAGGCAGCTCCCTGGTGGTCTAGTGGTTAGGACTCTGTGCTTGCACAGCTGAGGCACGGGTTCAACCCCTGGTCGAGGAACTGAGATCCACAAGGCCGCGCAGCCAAAATTTAAAAGAAAAATGACAGATAACCACGTGAGCTAACAACTCCACTCCCAGGTACAGACCCAAAAGAACTGAAAACGTATGTCTACCCAAAAACTCACACGTGAATGGCTGGCTGTATTTGTAACAACCCAAAAGTGGAAGCAACTCCAAGGCCATCATCTGATGAATGGATGACCAAAATGTCGTTTATCTATACAACGAAACATTATTTGGCAATAAAAAGACACACGACGTGACAATGTGGTGAACCGTGAAAACATGAAGCTCTGTGAAAGAAGCCAGACCTGAGAGAGCACACGCCGGATGGCTCTGTGCGTGTGAAACGTCCAGGACAGGTCACCCACAGGCCCGGGAGGTGGGACGGTGGTCCTGGGGCTGGGGTGGGGACAGGGAGTGACTGCCAGTGAGCTAGGGGTTTCCTTCTCAGAAAGACGAAAACGTTCTGGTGTCAGGTAGTGGCAATGACTGCACAGCACCGTGATGTACCATAACCACGGATTTGTACACTTTAAAAGAATGAATCCTATGCGAATATCTCAGTTTGAGAAACTGTATGAGGAAAAAATCAGGGGGCCATAAGGCAAGCTTAGCCAAAGGCTGCAGACGTCTCCAAAGTTGGCGTCACACCTGGGCTCCTGCCTGGAGGCGGAAGTGTCCCTGGCCCTGGTTGGGCACCATGTTCCCAGATGTCAGAAGTCCGGGTGCCCAGGAAGCACAGCTGAGCTGTCTCTGGAGGGGGCAGCCTGGCAGTGGGCCGGCAAGGACAGGCCTGTGACCAAGGGATGGTCCTTGTCACCTGGAACACGGCTCTGGCCCTCCCTGACACGGAGCTCCTGTAAAAGCTGGGCCAGGAAGCATGTGCTTCAGTCCAGAGGAGTCACAGTAGTGGAGGAACCAGCAGACAAGGAACCAAGAGTCAAACGGAAAGAGGACAGGACAGAAAACACCAATAACCACTAGACACGCTTCTACTGAGCACACGATGTTTATGACCAGGTAGAGCACCATGAATTTTTAAACTCTCTAAACTAAGGACATAAAGCAGAGAAATGAGCTCAAGACACAGCAAGACAACAAGAGGTAACAAAATCAATAAAAAGACCATACCTCAAAATAGACTTAAGATGTCACTAAATCTCTAAGAATGCATTATAATGACAAGGAGCCCCCCAAAATGCTTGAATGGATGACAAGGTGTATGGTGCTTTCAATACCATAAAGACAGACACTTTCCCTCAGTAATCTGTAAGTCTAGGGTGACCCCACTCAAGTTGCAGAAATATTTTCTTCACAGAACTGGACAATCTGATTCTAAACTTCCTATGAGAAAAGCAATAAACAAAAATAAGAAAAAAAAATTTTTTAAGGTAACAAGAGAAAGATCGATTTTACCAGACATTAAAATTACAAATGCCACATGATTAAATACGTTCCTTACCTCTCACTTTATTCCCAGATAAACTTCAAATGGATCAGATTTCAATTTGAGAAATGAGACTGTAAAAGCACAAGGAGAAACCATAGAAGTCTTTCTTTTGTATGACTGCTAAGGAAGAAGCCTTCTGTAGTTATGATTCTAAACCAAGGAGCCATAAAAGACATGAATTTGAATTTTACTACTTAAGTATTTTTCCCATGGAAAACCACCAAAAAGCTCCAAATTCCCTAAATTAAATCAAGAGAAATGGCAAACTGGGTGAAAAAAATACTTTGCAACTCCTATCACAGGCAATTAAAAAAAAATGCACACATATATATGAGTGTGTATATTTTATAGATGTCTATATATATAAAGAACAAACACACATATATAGAGATTGATCTTACATGTCAATTTTTTAAAAGTTTACCACTAGAAAAATGATTTAAAACTTTAAAAAATGCAAAGGATGCTCAGCCTCATTCAACATAAGAGAAATGCAAAATAAACGTAGGAGGAGATACAATTCCCACTTCAGGGATGGGCAGGGCGGAGCGGGGTGGCCCCTGCTGGCCCGCCTGGGAGGACGGGCATGATGGCGAAGGGCTTTGTGGCACACGCTCCTGAGTCCAACCATCTCAGGCCAAACCCCGAATCTGTCAGCACTCCCAGGACAGCCTGGGGGTGCGTTAGCAGCAGTGGCTCGCAGTCATCTGGGGATTCAGCACTCGGAACAGCGTCTGGCAGGAGCGAGAACACCTCCCAGGGAGCAGGCGACCACACACTGACAAGAACTTCAATGGGCATAACCTCTACTAAGTTTATTTTATTTATTCTTTTAAATTTTTGGCCGCACGGCGCAGCTTGCAGGATCTTAGTTCCCCGACCAAGGATCGAACCCACGCCCTCGGCAGTGAAAGCATGGAGTCCTAACCACTGGACCGCCAGGGAATTCCCTCTACTAACTTTATTTTAGTGATACTCATCACAGTTTATGACGTATGTGCTTTTTGCCTGAGCAATTAGCACTTCCTAGAATTTATCCTCTGGATTAGAGATCTAAATGCAAGACCCGATACTATAAAACTCTTGGAGGAAAACACAGGCAGAACACTTTCTGACATAAATCACAGCAAGATATTTTTGGATCCATCTCCTAGAGTAATGGGAACAAAAACAAAAATAAAGGAACCATGAACAAAAAGACAACCTACAAAATGGAGAAAATATTTGTAAATGATGCAACCAACAAGGGATTAATCTCCAAAATATACAAACAGCTCATAAAACTCAATATAAAAAAAACCAAATCAAAAAATAGGTAGAAGATCTAAATAGACATTTCTTCAAAGAAGACATACAAACGGCCCAAAGGCACATGAAAAGATGCTCAACATCGGTAATCATTAGAGAAATGCAAATCAGAAGTACAATGAGGTACCACCTCACGCCGGTCAGAACGGCCATCATCAAAAAGTCTACAAGTAATAAATGCTGGAGAGGCTGTGGAGAAAAGGGACCCCTCTCCTACACTGTTGGTGGGGATGTAAACTGGTGCAGCCACTATGGAGAACAGTATGGAGGTTCCACAAAAAAACTAAAAATAGAGCTACCATACGGTCCTACAATCCCACTCCTGGGCATATATAAGGAGAAAACTCTAATTCTAAAAGGTACACACACCCCAGTGTTCATTGCAGCACTATTGACAATAGCCAGGACACGGAAGCAGCCTAAGTGTCCCTCGACAGAGGAACGGATAAAGAAGATGCGTTACATATATACA